AAGTATAAACCGTTAACACGTGATGATTTCGCATCCTCTCCCGCCAAATTCCCCCTCGAACCGCCATAATGCCGTCCGCCCATTGGTTCATCGATTTTTCCCCCACCCAAAATTATTTGAAAGCCCCGGAGGCAAACGAACTGCTGTGAATGGAATTTCGAGGCAGTTCTAAACCGGCTGTTGCGCAGGTCACATCGGTTATACATTCACTTCCACAAACATGGCGATGTGTCACTCTTTTACGTATGTTTATACAAATTCAACAGTTCTAATAATTCTAATCGGTAGTGTAATAATGTCAGAGCAGATATCCAACATCGAAGGTAAATAATTTTCCCAATTAATCGCGACATAACCATGACTTATCCGTTAATTAATCATCGAATTTCCACGAATTGCGCCCCTCAAGGCCTCACTAAATTACACATCACCGATTCCTAGATTCGCGGGGACTAATGGCAAAAATTAGAAAAAATAAATAAATAAAGACAAGTGAATAATTGGGTGAACGTAGGGAATGAGAAAACGATCAAAAGTTATAGACCCGTTTTTTCGTGGGAATGGAGAAAAGAAAAAAAACGCCGCATCCGATTCATCAACGAGCCGGCGATCCTATTTCCTGATTGGCTGCATCTGTCCCTCTTTTCCCCTCGTCTAACTGTCGGTCGTTCATAAAATTAGCCCAATGTTTACTTCCTGTTGAGCGATAGGAAGCCGACGATTCCCTCTTTTTTTTTTTTTCTCATGTTTTTCCATCTCTATCTCGCGTACGGGTTATCTCTGGCACTTCCTGTGGTACACTAATGACTTATCGTGAATAAAATGTGGTTTGTACAGTTGTTACTTCATCCCTCCCTTGAGAACAATTAACAAGCGTTATTCATCCGCTGTTTTACTAATTTTCGTGCAATTATCAATGGTGATGGGAATGAATGGAACTATTGTTCCTGTTTTGTCCCGGGGAAAGAGTAAAGGGAATCGCTATTATTAATCATTCGTACGCTTTATGCAAGGGCACGATGATTTTATTGTGTGATTCATGGGTCTTTGTTCGCTAGATGTGTAATTACGTATGGATTTTTTTTTATGCGTAATGCATGGGGGAGAGAACTGAGAGAGGGGATTCAGGATGTTAGCCTTTCAGCTAAAATTCACGGTTTTTAACATTTTTTTTTGTTAATTATTGATGGAATTGACGTGAAAAAATAACTTTTTGCATTTTGTAATTGTTTGATGGCTCATAATATTTTGTGGAGGTTATTTTCATGTTTTCTGCAGTTATGTGATTGTTTTTAAAAGTTTATGAAAGCCAGGAAAATATTCGCACCATCTTAACCTTCGTAAGTCTCTAAAAAATAATAATTAATAATGACGGAATGCACAACAGGTATATTCCTGATTAATGCTGATTAATATTGAAATTCGAGTAACAGATCCGTCAAAAATTATCGGTGTAAATTATTTGATCGGTCAAGTGCCAGTAATAATTAATGTAAAAATGCATGATAATTATTTCACTAATAATTAATTTATAGAAATAGAAATGGAAATAGTTTCACAATCAGTAATAGTAGCATGGGAAATTGTAATTACGGAGAGTTTCAATAGATTAATTGTCATCACTCGCCGTCCTATTAATATCCATCTCCAATTCATCCGGAATATTACGAAAAATAATACAGATGATATAAAAAATGTTATTATTGCAAATTCCCGCACGGAGGAAATAATATTGGATAAAATTGAGAAGGCGAAAGGAAACACCTGAGCAAAATGGAACAATCGGGTATTTTGTTGTCTAGAGTTCAATGGAACGTTTGAACAGGTGTTTCATTTTACCCCAATATTTTCCTTTGCCCTAGTCTACAATGAAAAGGGCGTAAAAATTATCTTCGAAAACGTAAAGCGGATGTATCCTGTCAGATATTATAAAAAGTACAGCCTTCCACCCGAATTGTCAGAATATATTTTGAAAAACTCTTCTTCTCGAAAAATTAATCGTCGAACCGTAATTTTTTCCGGATTTTCTTTAGTACTGCTAAATTGCAACTCACGTAAAAATCTATCGATATAACAATAAACTTTACGAGACCCATAAAATTTGCGATTTTCAAACCATTTTCCCGTTAATACTCACAAATTTCACCGGCTTGATGATTCTTACTTTCCAACTCAATATAATTTTCCGTCTTAAGAAAATTAAAAGGAACTTGATCTTTAATCGGATAATCTTTCAGGAGTTTTCTCTCGCATAATTGATTACGTGAAATAACATTCAAGTTTAATAGTACCTTTGAATTTGTTTAATTAGTTCAATTTTTACCAACAATTGCGACTTGTGACTTGTGACTTCTGTGTGAAGTAACTTCTTGTGTTCTGAGGTCAAATTCACATTCAACTGAAATTATTCATCAAACTTTCAACTCATCTAAAACTTCACAAAAACTCAGAACTTCCATAACGAACGATCATGAATATTCAAATTGCAGCTTGAATTTCAAATCTCGTTATAAAAATTGAACATGAAATTCTATTAAATTTCCAATAGCCTGGGAAGCGAGAGAACTAATCGCCTGAATTTTTACTGTCTTCACTTATTTTCGTCGTCATGTGGATCTCTAATTCTGGAAAACGTGCATCTCATTGATTATTCAATTAAATTATTTAATTTTCAGGATTTTAAATTCTTTAAAATGTCTTTTTTTTGGGACTCACTATGGAAATTTGATATTCTTTCAGGAAATACTGGAACACCACTGTCTCCACGTTACATAAACACCGGTAATCGATATGGAGGCCCTAATGGCGATAATGATCCTGAAAATTTGGAAGGGATCTACCTAATTACTGAGCAAAGGTGGCACCGTGATACTGTGCTACCAGTGTCCCTGCACCCAGCTACCGAGGGGATGTCCGCTCGGTCTCATCACAGGTAAATAAAAGACATTTAAAATAGACCGATCTTTATCTCTCAGTTAAAAAGACGAGAACATCTGTGAATATTCAAGTCTGATAAGCTATCGGTGGAAATAACAATGAATAGTTCAAAGTAAAAAATCCAAAGTTTGAAAATTTGAGGGCTTTGCTCATCTCTTGTGTAATCAACGTTTACTGATAGCAAAGAGTCATTGTTAAAAAATGGATTACGTAAGACTGAGGCACCTGTACAATTCAGTAACACTAAATTGTGATAAATCAATTTTCACTAGTCGCCAGTTTTTTATTAACATCTCGAAGTCGAAAGAAAATAGCGAAATTTTCGTCGTAACTTTCTGGCGAGATAGTCAGGATCTGTGAGAAACGTTCATTAAATGAGGTGATATCTATTTTACTTCGGAGATATCACTGGTAAAGTCACCGAAGAGATAAGTCCTTTTATCACGATTTACCGTTGGCTATTGAATTTTACGAGAAATTGTAGATTTTTAAAAATATGCAATTGTGCATTTGAATAATTTCGATAACTCTAGCTTTACGGAGAATGTCAAATGGAAATTTTCATCGCTCAGTCCGTGAGGAAGCGCTTTACGATTGCACAGCGGTTTCTACGGACCGAATGACAAAAAATATTGTTCGTCACTCGGTCCAAAAGAACTTTTCCGACGATTGTGTTTACTTACCTCGGCTTCGCTTCGGGCTTTAAACAATCGCCAGAAAGAATTCCTGAAGAAATAGACCCATGTCAATTGTCCCATGATCTAATAAATCGGGCAGAGTTTAACATGTTTTTGATGTATGGGCTATTTTTCTCTGGTCTATTTTTTGTGTCTACTGGCCAGAAAAATTTCTAACGACCTAGTGACGAAATATACCATCTAGTCCGTAAGCAGGGATTGAATAACAAAATTGTTTTTTCATAACCATTCGAGTGATTCCCGTAAAACAATTTGAAAACCCAAGTCTAGAAATGTTTTACACTAACGAGATGAAATTCAAATCAAAGATTATGTTCCATAAATAGTACACGTACACGCTTTAATGATTTTCCATGAAACCTCATAAATTGCCAAGATAAAATAAAAATTTGAAACAATATTGTAAGCAGAATCCGGCAGTCCGCTACAGGACTGGATGATGCTGGAATGGATCTACAAGCAGCACAACTTAATACACGTGCTGGTCAGGAGGTGAGCTCCACGACAACCCTATCATGGATAGACTGGGACCTACCATTTCCAGTGATAGTCTGTGCTTTTGCTGGTGCTATTCTCTTCACTTTCCTGTTCCTGTTATGGCTCCGGAAGCAAATGTCGAGTGAAAAGAAGACAGGCGATGGAGACAGACGAGGTCTCGTGGAGGAGGGTGCGCAAATTGCTCAGGGCCAAGATAAACCAGGAAAGAGTACCCAGGAGAGGCCCATGGAGGCGCAATGGGTTCGTCAGCCCGTTGTCAAGCCACCAGTATCTGTTCTCCCTATCAGAACAGCACCAGAGACCAGTGGTTTACCACAGGTGATGTCAGTTGGAGGACCTGAAAGACGTCCTGAGCCAATCCGAGTGAAAGCGAAGGGTCTCCTGGAACGTCGTGGTTCATCAGCAAGTTTGACAATCGAACTGGCCCCAGCCCCGGACAGTCCTCCACACATGGTGACACCAACGCGTGAGTGCACCTCTGAAGAGTTCCTCCTCAGTGCTGGAAATGTCCTGTCACGCAACCAACTCCGTAAAGCAATTAGAGATCCAACATCCCTTCACAAGGAGTTCTGGGAAGTTCCCCTGAATGTACCAGAAAAAGTCGACATCTTTGGAGCTGGAGTGAAGAACCGTTACTCAGGTGTCCTTCCAAATCCTCAGTCTCGAGTCATTCTAGCAGACGTGGAGGACCCAGTGGGAAGCTACATAAATGCTAATTACATTCGAGGATACGACGGTGAGCAGAACCGTTTCATTGCCACCCAGGGTCCTCTTCCAAATACAGTCACCGATTTCTGGAGGATGATTTGGCTGGACAATGTCCAGGCTATTGTCATGATGACGAGACTCTTCGAGGCATCCAAGAACAAGTGCGATGTTTACTTCCCTCTGGAGATGAACAGCCGTGTGCAGACTGGAAACTTCACAGTTATTCTCAACTCAATAATATCAAGGGGAGGATTTACCATTCGTGATCTTGAGATCAGGCACGAGGGTGAGAGGAGACAAGTGACGCATTACTGGTATGACTCATGGCCAGATCACGCTGTACCACAGGCCTCTGATTCACTCGTCAGTCTCGCAGCTGAGGTAAACACATTGCCAGGACCTATTGTCGTTCACTGCAGTGCTGGAATAGGAAGAACTGGATGTTTCATAGCTCTTGCCACTGGAATCACTCAGTTGAGTCGAGATGGTAATGTCGATGTCCTGGGAATACTCTGCCAAATGAGGTATGATAGGGGGGGAATGGTCCAAACAGCTGAACAGTACGAGTTCGTTCATCGTGCACTCTGTCTCTTTGAACAAACTCTAGATGGTAAAACACCGACAACTGGTGATTGAGAAACACCACGAGAATTATTTTGAAATAACATTAAAGCATAAATGATTAATCGGCCTCGTCGATAGCTAATGCTGAAATGCCGGTAACAACTCAGTTTCTAGGTCCTTGATGTTATTAGGGTGAGAGAAAGTGAAGGAAAATCTTAAACCGTTGTCAGGACTAAAAATGTCTAGATAATCTAAGAGATTAATGCGTAAATCTCCATTACGCCGATGACTGATTTACTCAGTGTCGTTACAAGCTGCCATTTAAAACTATACTGCCACCAAATTAATTATGTAAATAATATAACAGAGTATATTTATGGTTGATCGATGGTGAAGTTCGTAAATGCTCAAACAGTTTTCATGACTTTTGGATTATTCATTATTAATTATGATGTTTGATGATGTTCAGTTAACCTTTCGTAATTTATATTTATCAGTTTGACAAATGACCATTTGTTTGGGAAAACTTACCATCGATCACACTCAAACTCAAATTCATTTTATGGATCAATTGCATTTTTTGGGACCCACGATACAAATCTATCACTTTCTGCACTCTAAAAAAAAAGAGACATTTTAGTATTGAAATTCATTATTTCGAAGTGGCGGTGGATAGACTGAGGAGATGCAGTAGTTACGTGAATTAATTAATTTCATTATCGAAATAATGGTCTGCTCGGTCTATTCAATTGGCTGCTGACGATGGATAACGAAAAATCAAACTTTGAAATTAATTATGTGACTTCATTCAAAAAATGAGTGTCTAACAATTATTCATTGGATAATATATAAATTACCTTTAATTATTTTATGACAAAGACTGAATGCGATTAGTACAATATACGTCTGATCTGTTGAGAGGATTTTGTGAGTGCTTTGCATGGAGAAATGAGAGGTTGAGGACCTCGGGGGAAATCGATAAAGAAATCAATTGGAATTTAGAAGAATATGTCAGTGATGTATTGCAGTTACTTCAATCAGATCCAGCAAATTATTCTATTTCACGTAAGGCCGGTTCCTTCGTGTAATTTTCCCTTTCTTTTTATCACTTTTTTCCCTCGAATACTTGAATTGTCACTCGAGACTTTAGTTATGACACCCCGACGATTGAATTCTATATAGATTAATAATCAATGTGGAAATAATGAGGAAAAGACTCGATGATGAATCTCAGAGGTATTGAATTTCATGTCCCCTACGTGCCTAAAATTACTGTAATGACACCGACGGAAAATCCATTTGAAAATGGCCTCAATTATTCATGGACTATCCCCTGTACTCATTCCTTCCCCATGAATATTCTTTTTAATCTCAACAATTAATTTAAAACAGATATTCACGGTTTTTTTTTGCGTGTGGGTTATTTCTCTTCGGTGAACGAAAATTTTGTGATATATAAAATATGTATACATAATAATATATTGTACAGAAGATGAAAAACAAAAATTATATTTGAGAATACGAACGGTATTGTACGACTCAGTGACAGGGGCAGGAGGGAAGATGAGAGTATCAATTATTATTTATGGATGATGAGTTGACAAATTACAAATAGGATTTCAATTGTATTGAACAACATTAATTCTAGCGACCCCTTGGTGTTCAATTGTACTTATGTGACGTAAATAAATGTTTATAGTATCAGAGTATTTATTTATTGTTTTCAGGAGGAAGTCCCAAACGTTCTCAATGGATTTCAATTAATTATGATTGAAATTTTTGAAAACGATACTTTTTCAACAAACATATACTCCTAATGAAACTTGACTCTCAAATGAGTGCGTTGTCTAATCCTCAACGTGCTTGTCTAGAACGCGGAGGGCTAGGGTTCGGTCCTCGCTGTCATCGTTCATTTTTTTTTTTAATAATTCTAATTTTTTTTTGTAAATGGCTAATCACTCGAAATATCGTTTAAAACTGAATACTTAAAAATCGAGGAGATATCCAGTGAAATTGAAAAATTCGAAATTTTTGAAAAAGTATCAGGAGAATAGGAGATCCGAGGAGGTATTCGCTGAAATTTTCAAATCCAAAATTTTCGCAAAAGTATCAGGAGAATAGGAGATCCAAGGAGCTATTCACTGAAATTTTCAAAT